TCGTCTCGAGCAGCGTCGGCCTTGTACCACTTGGCATTTTGAGGTTTGTCGGTGGTGTTTATGTCCCTCGTGTCAATCTCCCTCGGCCGAACATCCCGCGCTTTGTTGATTCTCGCTAAGTACTGATTGGCATAGCTCGACTGGGTGCCACACTTCCCTGCGTATTTACGCTCCACGGGAGGAGTATAGTCGCCTGGCGTAGCCACCTTGGGCAGGTTCAGGCTGTGGTCGGAGTACTTGGGCCTGGACGCCGTGTATAGCGTTGAAGAACTTGTGTGTGGCGGCGGCAAAAATGTCTTCTGAAGACTGGCTGTGTTTCCCGCCAAGAAGCTGGAGGTAGACGGGGACTTGTGGAGTCTGTTATTCTCTGTCGGACTTCGGACTTGGGGAACATTGTCAGTTGAGCTGTATTTGGCGAGCTGGTAGCCGCTCCTTGAGGCGGGAGTGTAGGTGGGCGCCAGGTAGCTGAGAGCCGGCGTGTCCTCCGGGATGATGTACTTGGATCTAAAGTAGTTAGCGGGACTTTCATCCAGGAAGTTTCCTGTACCACGCGTGTCTGCGAAGCTGAACTTGGAGTCAATCAGAGGAATATAGCTGCTGGTGTTCCTGGTGTAGGTACGGTTGACGTAACCGCTTTGGCCGTAATATGGAGAGACAGGCATTGTGGCCAGGAGTGAAAATAATGAAGGATGAAGTAAAATAGACAGTCAAGAACTGGACCAAACTCTGGCAGAGAAGCGGCACTCACAAGTTAATTTGATTTGCCGAGAAAATTAGATACTAAGGTCGTTTAAGTTTACAGAGTAAGGTGGATACTCTGGTTGTTTCAGTTTACAGAGAATAGTGGATACTCTGACCAAGCGCGCGTTAACCCACAAACACTGAGACACACGAGAGAGTGCGTGCCAGGGTTCACATGTGGGGCACCGTGGCACTGGCACACAAATATTGCAACAGGTGTATGTTCAGGTGTATGTTCAGCACTGGCCTCATTCTAGTAATACTTATCAACACCCTTGTGTATGAACACCACCGAGGGCCATACACAGCCGACAGTAGTGTTGCGATCACTCAACACTCTGGTTCTGTGTTGCGTTGAGGCCCTGAACCCCACCAGCACAACCGCTCTTCACACCCCGGCTCATTAAGGGAAAGGGGGAAAAGGGTATTTGCCCCTCACGAGAGACCTCACTTTCCCCTCTCTCTCTTTCCCCTTTTGCTGAGACACTCGCAATTCCCCTCCCTCACACCTCTCACCAATCACTCTCACTAATATCCTCTTAATTGTTTCTCACTCTATTCCCCCCCAGACGATTTTCTTTCTCAATTTTTTTTAACCACAATTTGCGAATTTCACCAGTTAACTGAATTTGTCATTTCTCACTTACGAAATCACTTTCAGTTTTCTGGGGGTTCTTGCGCTCAGTGCCCCAAGTGCCCAGGTGCCCAGTTGAGGCGAGACTGGGTATCTTCTGGTAACTGTGTGTGGCGGGTTGCCCACGCTCTGGGCCTGCTACACGCACGCCCGCACACCACCACGCCCGCCTACTGTATGGCTGCACCACCTCCCAAGCCCACGCCCACACGCCCCCCCCTCTCTCTCTCTCTCTCTCTCTCCCCACACCTGCTGCAGCCGCCCCCCCCAAACATACCACCCCCCTCCCTGTCACCCCTTGTGGGTGGGTGGGTCGGTGGAATTCAGGGAGGGGGTTCGCAGGAAAGGGGAGGATAAGGGGAGAGGGGGAGGAGTAAATGGGAGAGGGGGGAGGAAAAAGGATAAGAAGATGGAAGGGAAGAGGGAGAATGAAGAGAGGGGGGGGGTTAGGGGAGAGAGTGAAGGGAAGGTGGGAGAGGGGAAAAGGAAGGGGGAGGGTACTTGAAGATGGTTAGGAGGGTAACGGAAGAGTAGAGAGAGAAATGAAGGGAGAGGAGGGAAGAGAGATTAAGGGGGAGGGAAGGGAGAGGGGAAGGGGGGGGAGGACAGACCTTGGCACTGCCAGTTGGGCAGCAGTGAGTTCTTTAAGGAGTTGGCGCCGGGTGATTAAAATACTCCAGGGATGGTGGTAGTGGTGGTGGGTGGTGGTGGGTGGTGGTGGTGGTGATGGTGGGTGGTGAAGGTGGTGGGTGGTGGTGGTGGTGATGGTGGTGGTGGTGGTGGTGGTGGTGGGTGGTGGTAGTGGTGGTGGTGGTGGTGGTGGGTGTGTGGTGGTGGTGGGTGGTGGTGGGTGGTGGTGGGTGGTGGTGGTGGTGGTTGGTGGTGGTGGTGGTGATGGTGGTGATGGTGGTGGTGGTGGTGGTGGTGGTGGTGGTGGTGGTTGGGTGGTGGTGGTGATGGTGGTGGTGGTGGTGATGGTGGTGGTGGTGGTGGTGGTGGTGGTGGTGGTGGTGGTGGTTGGTGGTGGTGGGGTGGGGGTAGTGGGTGGTAGTGTTGTAATGTCGAGGTTCTCTTTTATTAGTCTCATACGTAACTGATTCCTTACGCTCCTCTTCAATGTGTTTAATCCAATAGCATTTACGTTATTTGGTGAATGTGTTAAAGTCAGACATCATATTGTTGACCAGACCACACATTAGAAAGTGAAGGGACGAGGACGTTTCGGTCCGTCCAGGACCATTCTCAAGTCGATTGTGGTCCAGGACGGACCAAAACGTCGTCGTCCCTTCACTTTCTAGTGTGTGGTCTGGTCAACATATCTCAGCCACGTTATTGTGACTCCTCGTCTACAGTCAGATATCATTGGTCAATGCTACTATATCATTGATAGATATCATTGTCAATGCTATGATATACTAAAATATATCAGTTTATACTTCTTGACTGATGCAGATTATCTTTACAAGCATGTCAACAGTGTCACGCTTCAGAGGAATTTATTCTTTTTTCAAATAAAGATAATTTATTTGAAAATCTACTTTATTATCTTTAACCCTTCATTCTAATATCAGCCTTTTGATGAATCAACCACACGTCAAAAACTAAAGTAACGACACCATTTGGGGGCGGCGCTGGACCATTATTGCGTCACGTTCAACCAGGTTATTGTGACTCTTCGTCGGCATCCACCTCGGAAGTGTTTCAACAATGTGCGTTTAATGCCAGAGCTTCACTCTGCGCACGTTGGTATATTATTACAGTTCTCTGACCCATTTGTGTCTCCAGTTTGCATCTATGTCCTCTTGTCCTTGTCTTATATGCCCAACCACTTGGGTTGGACGGTAGAGCGACGGTCTCGCTTCATGCAGGTTGGCGTTCAATCCCCCGACCGTCCACAAGTGGTTGGGCACCGTTCCTTTCCACCACCGTCCCATCCCAAATCCTTATCTTGACCCCCTTCCCAGTGATATATAATCGTAATGATTTGGCGTTTTCCCCCCTGATAATTCCATCCCTCCCACATACTATCTTGTATGTTGTGATCATGGCACAACTGTTTCTTCTCCCCCTCTAGAGTTGTGAGATCTGGTTCCTCTCCTCGAAGTTTACTCGAAGAACACTACCCACTCTGGTAGTAGAGAGAACACTATCCATTCTTGAGTTGGGGAGAAGAACACTGCCCCCCCCCCCATCTGGTGGCCAGAAAGCAAACCACAGATGTAAACACTGTCCTCAGCCCTCTAGTGGATGGCCAGCCATTATTAGTGAGTAAACTCGAATGCCTCTCTTCCTCTCTCTTCCTCTCTCTTCCTCTCTCTTCCTCTCTCTTCCTCTTTCTTCCTCTCTCTTCCTCTCTCTTCCTCTCTCTTCCTCTTTCTTCCTCTCTCTTCCTCTCTCTTCCTCTCTCTTCCTCTCTCTTCCTCTCTCTTCCTCTCTCTTTCCCAAATATTTTCTGCTACTGCACCTTCTTTTTTTTCGTCTGTTCTGCTGTTCTGGTTTGATTTAAGTTGTATTATGTTCCTCTTTCTGTCTTATTCCTTTGCCACCACGATCTTTATTGGTTTATAACTTGATATATTCTGTTGTTTGGTCTCTCTCTCTCTCTCTCTCTCTCTCTCTCTCTCTCTCTCTCTCTCTCTCTCTCTCTCTCTCTCTCTCTCTCTCTCTCTCTCTCTCTCTCTCTCTCTCTCTCTCTCTCTCTCTCTCTCTCTCTCTCTCTCTCTCTCTCTCTCTCTCTCTCTCTCTCTCTCTCTCTCTCTCTCTCTCTCTCTCTCTCTCTCTCTCTCTCTCTGTGTCCTTCACCCCCTATTCTGGCAATGGTCCAGCAGGCACATTGTGGGACGAGCTGCCTGGCTCCCACCACCACCACCACCACCACCACCACTACAGCCTCCACCACCATCACCACCACCACCACCGCCACCACCACTACCGCCACCACCCTCACCACCACCACCACCACCACCACCACCACTACAGCCACCACCACTACCACCACCACCCTCACCACCACCACCACCACCCCCACCACCATCACCACCACCACCACCACTACCACCACCACCCTCACCGTAATAGAAATCCTACACAAGGAATGGAAATACTGACTTCTGAAGCATATAAAGTATGTCTGAAACATGTTCCTTTAAGAAAAACCAGAAAGAGGTCCTATGTAGAAAGAGAACGCAAACGACACTAAAAAAGAGGACAAAAAATAACGGAAATACTTAAGCAGACACGACATTATATACAAAGAAGGAATTATTTAAACAGGGAGATTGAAGAAATCGAACAGAGACTGAAGCATTCATATCAGATTGAAGAACTGCAATTAGAACAGAAAGCCATTCAAGAAATAAAGAAAATCCAAAATATTTCTTCACATATGCGAAATCAAAAGCAAAAACCACTGCCAGTATTGGACCTATTCGTACGAGTGAAGGTTCATACACTGAGGATGACAAAGAAATTAGTGAAATCCTAAAAAAGTAGTATGAGGACATGTTTAGCACTCCAATAAACAGCATGAAAGTGGAAGATCCGGACAACTTCTTTATGTGTGATATCCAAACCCCTGTAAATATAACTGATATCAACACGAGCGTGGCAGATTTTGAAAGAGAAATTGACAACATGCCCATGCACTCAGCCCCGGGTCCAGACTCATGGAATTCAATATTTATAAAGAAATGCAAAGTGCCAGTAGCACAGGCACTCAGTATAGTGTGGAGGAAGAGCTTGGACACGGGGGAGATACCAGATGCGCTTAAAGCAGCAGACATAGCCCCTCTACACAAGGGAGGGAGCAAAGCATTGGCAAAGAATTATAGACCAGTTGCACTAACGTCCCACATAATAAAAGTATTTGAGAGAGTGATCAGGAGTCAGGTCACTAGTTTCATGGAGACCAATGACCTCCACAACCCAGGCCAACATGGATTTAGAGCAGGAAGATCATGCCTCTCACAGCTACTTGACCACTACGACAAAATCACTGAGGCATTAGAAGAAAAACAGAATGCAGATGTGGTATACACGGACTTTGCAAAGGCATTCGATAAATGTGACCATGGAGTGATAGCACACAAAATGAGGTCAATGGGAATAACTGGTAAAGTAGGACGCTGGATACTTAATTTTCTGTCGAACAGAACACAAAGAGTAACAGTCAACCACATAAAATCGAGTCCAAGCGCAGTTAAAAGCTCTGTACCTCAAGGTACAGTCCTTGCACCACTGCTTTTCCTTATTCTCATATCAGATATAGACAAAAATACAAGTCACAGCTTCGTGTCATCCTTTGCAGATGACACAAAAATCAGCATGAAAATTACCTCTGCTGAAGACATTGAAAAACTACAAGCAGATATTAATAAAGTTTTCGACTGGGCAGCAGAAAATAACATGATGTTTAACAGTGATAAATTCCAGGTACTCAGGTACGGTAAAAATGAGAACCTTAAACATAATACAGGGTACAAAACACAATCAAATCTGCCCATAGTAGGAAAGCAGCATGTAAAGGATCTGGGAATAATGATGTCTGACGACCTAACGTTTAGGGAGCATAACCAAGCAAATATTGCGTCAGCCAGAAAAATGATAGGATGGATTACGAGAACTTTCAAATCCAGGGATCCCATCACAATGGTTGTACTCTTCAAATCACTTGTGTTGTCCCGTCTTGAGTACTGCTCAGTACTCACTTCCCCCTTCAGAGCAGGAGAGATTGCTGAAATAGAGGGAATACAGAGAACATATACGGCACGCATAGACACGATAAAGCACCTAAATTATTGGGATCGTCTCAAAGCTCTCCAAATGTACTCACTAGAAAGGAGACGAGAGAGATACCAAATAATATACACATGGAAAATACTGGAGGGCCAGGTCCCAAATTTGCACAGTAAAATAACAACATACTGGAGTGAACGATATGGAAGGAAATGCAGAATAGAGCCAGTGAAGAATAGAGGTGCCATAGGCACAATCAGATAACACTGAATGAACATCAGAGGTCAACGGCTGTTCAATATCCTCCCAACGAGTATAAGAAATATTGCCGGAACAACCGTGGACATCTTCAAGAGAAAACGGGATAGTTTTCTTGCAAGAAGTGCCGGGCCAACCAGGCTGTAGTGGAAATGTGGGCCTGCGGGCCGCTTCAAGCAACAGCTTGTTCAGCC